GGGGCTGGAATATCTCCAGAGAAGGAGACTCCACAGCCTCCCTGGGCAGCCTGGGCCAGGGCTCCGTCACCCTCAGAGGGAAGAAGTTCTTCCTCGGGTTCAGCTGGAGCTTCCTCTGCTTCAGTTTGTGAAAACACCCTTCGGGGTCACTGGTGCTCTGCAAGACCCCGAGCAGGACACCAATGACAGCAGAGGCAGAGACAAGTCTCACTTCTACTCAAAATTGGGCTAAAAACTGAGTTTTCACTGCATAAACTTGTCCCGCCACAGTACCTCGCTCTTCCACATCTCCATCTCGGTAAGAAGATTCAGTCAGGAAAAGGTCGTTATGGTGAATTTAAAGTGGAAGTAAGATTGCACTACTCAATTCAAGCTTGGAATCACGCGTCTATTCACCATCCAGGCTTGAACTCCTGAAGTATTGCAATGGTTGCTACTATTTAAGGAGCGTTTATGAATTTACTCATTACTTATGAATAATCTTCTGGCCTTCGGACAATTTAAAGGACAACTGGGTTTCCCATTAGAGGTGGAGGACCTTGTCGTTTCAAGGCTTAAGGGCAGAACTGAATGCATTTGACTCCTCTGTGGCTGAAGACACAGTCACAGCGCAGGGAGCTAAGTGACCTGCCCAAGGTCACAGAAAACAGTGTCAGAATCAAGAGCTAAACCCACATTCTCCAACCTTCAGGATCTGTCTTTTACTGCAGATGAGCAGCCCACCCTGGGAGTCCAAATGCCAATTCTTTTTTTTCATCTTGTAGCTGATTCAAGACCATCCTGCGTTGGTTCAGACTCAATTTCTTATCAAGAGCAACAACCAAGCTCGCCCCTCCGTTCAACCAGCAATGCCTGCCCTCGCATCACGTCCTCAGAAGACAGCTGGAAAGTTTTTGCTGCCTGGAGAAGACCCTCACCCTCGTCCTTCTGCCATCATCACCCTCGTGCTGAGTGCACCCCAGCACCCGGCGGAGGTGCAGATGGGCAGCGGGACGGCCGGGCGCCTCCGGAGCTGGGTTGTCCCTTACTACAGGCTGCGTAGGAGAATTTGTTCCAGACATCAGCCTCTATTTTAGTAAACCCTTAACCGGCTCCCGAGACACCTCTGCTGTCTGTCTCGCACAGACACACGTTTAGGAGACCGTCTACGAGATCTCCGTGCTCACGTAACCGTAGGTACCAGGCGCAGCTCTGCCCGAGCCCAGCCCCGTCTGGCTCCTCACCACGCCCCGGCGCAACCCGCGCACCGGCAGAAGTCAAGTCAATTAGGACAAAATGACAGACGCTGCTGCTGGGCATCTTCTGGGAAATAAAATTGCTTATTTTTAACAATGATTCCATTAGAAGAGACAGCGAGATGCAGGCGCTGGCTGAGACTCTGCCAGGGAGGAAACACCAGCCCCCAGCAGGCAGGCACGACACTGCCGGCAAAACGTAAAGGAGAAAAAGGGAAGGAAGCACAGGATTGTTTCTGTATATAATAAACCACATGATCCCAGAATCCCAGAATCCCAGCATGGCAGGGGTTGGCAGGGCCCTCTGTGGGTCACCCAGCCCAACCCCCTGCCCAAGCAGGGTCTTCCTCGGGTTCAGCTGGAGCTTCCTCTGCTTCAGTTTGTGCCCGTTGCCCCTTGTCCTGTCGCTGGGCACCACTGAACAGAGTCTGGCCCCGTCCTCCTGACCCCCACCCTGCAGATATTTAGAGGCATTTCTAAGGTCCCCTCTCAGCCTTCTCTTCTCCAGGCTGAACAAGCCCAGCTCCCTCAGCCTCTCCTCGTAGGAGAGATGCTCCAGTCCCCTACTCATCCTCGTAGCCCTCCGCTGGACTCACTTCAGTAATAATTATGATAATTATTTCTGCATATAATAAACACCAAGGTGTTGGTGTTTTCTGAAACACAGGTCTTTGTCTATAACTGCAAAGCGTATTTTTGGGTGGAAACAGCCTCTCTCGACATCCTGGCCGTACAAGCCACAGCCACTGACCTCAGCCGCTTGTGTGGGCTGGGGCTTCTCTCTGCAATTCGGGTGTCACGGCTCGGTGAACTCTGCAGGACTGGGTGACTTCTCTTCCTTCATCTGCTCCCAGCCACCAAAGCACGCAAACTGCCCGTATCAGCTCACCTCGCTCATCTGCCAACTCGCGCTCGTTAGAGGAGTTCATGGCAAAGAGTGGGGGCGACGGCGCTGGGCGTGAGCACGCGTGTGCGAAGCGCCGCGAGCATCGCACGCACGGCGTCTGTGCTGATGGGAGAACCACAGCCCGGTGCGAGAGCATCGCTGGCAACACAGCGAGAGCTGCTCAGGGCAAATGCCGGCAAAAGGGAAACCGGCAGAGAAGCGAGGACTCCAACTGGAGGGAGACTACTGGCCCATGAAATATTCGAGTTTTGACTGAGCATTTAATCCAGGACCTGAG